AAAAATATTTGTTTTGGTTTGTTTTTTTAGTGGTAGGTGGATACAATAACCTTTATTTTTAAGTGGCGCTGAAGATTGAACCCAGTGCCCCATGCATGCTAGGCAAGCACTCCACCACTGAGCCACAACCCCAGTCCCACTTAACAGTACTTCTGAATTCTGAAGATTTCCACATGGAATTAATGTAACCCATTTCTAACACATATTTTGCTTTTTAGGGTTGTCAGAAAGGTCTGCTTAGGGTAAAGGGAAGGGATACATCTTGATGGGGTAATGGCAAGGTTCTGGAAGAATATGGGGAAATTTGAATACTGTTGGGGTAATTTTTGAGAAAAACAATATGGTACAGCTATTTTTACTTTTAAGTTGTAGACAGATACAATACCTTTCATTTTATTTATTTTTATGTCGTGCTAAGGATCGAACCCAGGGTCTCACATGTGCTAGGTGAGTGCTTTACACTGAGCTAGGACCCTAGCCCACTACAGATTTCTTTTATGAAATGGGAAAGGATGAAAAGTGGAACTGGTATTATCCCTTTACCATGGGCATATTCTTAGGTAGATCATTTTCTAACAAATACATCATATGGGAATTGAGGATCTGAATTTGGATTCTGTTAAAACTATCCATGCCTGCGTATTCCTTGGAAAGTAAAATACTCCCAGGAGTATGCATACCCTTGTTTGAAGACCCTCTCTGCAGTTTACATTGTCACCATTCTTTAATTATCTGAATTCCTAAGAAGCACACTCAAGGATTTTTTCAAAAAAGATGCTCAGCAATTCTATGAAGAATTTTAAAATGTGTATTCTGGAATATTAAATATCCAATCACTTTCTATTTTAAAGAATGATCAATTCCTTTCACTCAGCTAAACAAAGAATAGAAAATAACAAAATGACCAATGCCATAAGAACTTTGATTAGAGAATACAGTAATGATGGTGTACATACATTAAAATGTTCTCTTAAAAAGTCAGACAAGGCCAGATCTCTGTAAGTAAATACTGGTAACTTGGCAAGAAAGAAATTTTTTAATATATTTCACTTATAAAAGTACAGTAGTGAAATAAAACGCACAAAAACCATTAGAAGAGTTACATCTGAATGTCTTCCAAATATTGTATGAATACATTCACATAAAATTGTTCCTAATTTCCTTTTCTTTTTTTGAGACAGTCTAGATAAATTGATCATGCTGGCTTCAATTTTGTGATCCTCCTGCCTCAGCCCCCTGAACAGATGGGATTATAGGCACCTGCCACCATACCTGGCTTCCAAACTTTTTTTTTGCCAATTATCCCAACAATCTCTAGAGACTGTAATAATTATTTCCAACTGTCATTTCCTTAAGATATTTCTTACCTATTAAGTTCAATAAAAGCTATTTACAAAAGCATCCTATTTTTGTAGAGAATCAGTAATTTTATATAGTATAAGTTCATCATACATCATGACCTCAACATGGAAAGATGTTAAGAGAATAAGGGCTTTTAAAATGCTGAGTGTAATTACTAATCTGTTCCTTTTATATACATGGGAATAGGCAGATAAATATCATAGTTATAATTAGAATTTCTATATTTACCCATCAGATATTTATAGCCTACAAGTTTTTTTTTTTTAAAGAGTATATATTTTTAAATACATTTTATTTTTTAAATTTATTTTTATGTGGTGCTGAGGATCAAACCCAGGGCTTCCCATATGAGAGGCAAGCACTCTACTGCTGAGCCACAACCCCAGCCCCTAGAGCCTACAAGTTTTATAGGCACTATTCTAAAAACTGAGGACACAGGGATAAATGAGTGCTTACTATGTGCCAGGCCCTGGCCAAAGAGTTTCACACATATGAACCTATTTAATCCTCAAACACAACACCTCTGACAGATACTGTAAATTTCCTCATTTTACATATGAGAAAATTAAGGCACTGAGAAGTAAACTCATCCAGCTAATAATTGGTAGAAAGAGAATTTCCAAAGTAATGGCTCTCCTGGAACTATAATTAATCTAAAATCCTTCCATTCTGTTTTGTCCCTATGAGACATCCAATGAACTGAACATAACTGGGTATGGCTCAAACATTTCATTCTTAGATTTTTTTTTTGGGGGGGGGGAACAAAATTTTAACTAGCTCTATCTAGTTTGTGCCTTCAAAACATCTAAAAAGATTTCATTGCACATTGTAAGGCTTAACTTTGTTTTTCATAATTGAGGAAATATTCATTTTTTTACTTCCATTGTTATAGATACACACACATAGCTTTCCTTTCTTTAGGAAACCATTTCTCTACTCCAGTAGGCTCAATGGGGCTAAAGATCACAGAACTGTCTTCCAATATCGGGTTGGATCTGTTATTCAAGCTCAAGGGCCTTATTGCAATGGTCAAACTTAACTGGCTTAAGAATACAAAACATGTCTGAGCATGGCTTCTTCAAGACTGATGGAATTAAGAGATGCTCTTTTTGTGATGGAAGTTATTTGGGTTTGATGGTAAATATCTTCTTTGGTCTCAAAAGTAAATGACTATAGTGATAAGAGATAGAAATTCAGATGAAATACATTGATCTACCTATGCATGAATATCCTTGTCTTTTCTGGTTTAATAGTATAAACTTATTCTAAGTGGGATTCTGTGATTTGAAATCAAGTTTCAAAGTGTTTCAACAGAAGCATTAAATAAAATATGCATGTAGAAATAGAACTTTGCTATTTGCTTCCTTTTTAGGAATATAGAACTGTCTATAGCTAAAAGAATAGACATGAGATAGAAATAGTTTATCTATTTCATTTTAAAAAACAATTTGCAAAACATTTACCTATAAATTCTAAGTGATTACAAAGCATTATTTTAGTTATTCTACTTCTTTATCATACCACAAAACCACAATATAGCTAGAAAGACAAAATGTTTTATTTTAAAACATTAGAAAAACATTTAAAAGACAAATGTCCATTAGATAACCAGGAATGTTAAATATATTGAAATTGTAAGTCTAAATGTGATAGGCACTTTCAGAGAACTAAATACTGAAAATTATCCTACATTCTTCTCTAATAACAACACTTGATATAATGAAAAATATCAAGACCCTACTAATTATTCAAAATCAACATCTTTGGGTTCAACTTATTTTCACAAGTAAAAGTTTTGTCCAAGATGTTCCTGACACATGAAGCTTCCAGTTGAATTTCAGAAATGTTAACAAAAGTATCTTCCTTTTTTGCCTGTGAATGTTTGAGTATTGCTGTATTGTTGGCTTATGTCCACTACAGATACTGGTTCTAGGCCAGCCCAAGGATCTTCAAGCATTGAAGGCTTGAAATAACTTTCCAACTCATTAGACATTCTTTTTTCTCTACCACGCCCTGATCCAAATGGTGTGGATGTCCTTGGAGAACCCTTTAGGAAAAAAATCATCAGTTAAAATAAAAAAAAAAAAAATTAGTAGAGGTAACTGGTAGTTTTTTTTTTTAAAGGCTAATGGGGATCACATTGCTGGTTAAAAGCTGTCATATAAAACCAGGTATGTTCAATTGCTAAGTCCAAGTTTCCTTTAATCTAGTTTGTGTTAAAGGTATTTAAAAAAATTTAGCATACTTATTTAATAATAATTCCATGCCCACTGTCCCCTCAACTACTTTTTTGAGTTGCCAATGTAATAAATCTGCTATTATTGAAGACTAATGGTGATGAAATCAAGTACAAGCCGTGACAAAATACTTTTTTTTTCCTGGAGGAAAATTAAAACTTTTTTTTTTAACCCTATACAGAACTTCTAAAACCTTTCTCATAGAAATTTACAACTCATTAGCTCCAGGCTCAAAGGGGTGTGGTTGGTTTAGCATATACAAAGTTGGAAAACACTGAGCAGAGACAAGCCGAAGAAATCCTAGACACAATACTCCGTCTTGTATTCACTGAAAGAAAAGGGAACTTCCACTATTACCGACCTTCTCTTGAGAGAACTTGGCCCAGAAGACAATGAAGCTCAAAAAGAGAGTTTAAAGAAAAAAGAAAGAAAAAAAAGTTGACAGTTGCAGGAAGATGGCAATAGCCTATAACCTAGAAAAGTTATATACTGGGATTCTTTCACTTTTCCCTCCCTCAGAGCCCAGTTGCTCAAAATACTTAACTGAAAACGAACTGGTAAGGCCCACAGCAAATAAGAGATAACGGAGAATTAGGGAAATCTGTGTATGAGTGGCAGCCTACTCGTTAAAAGCACAAAGGCTCTAGAGCAGAACTACAGCTCTACCATTTTTAGAATAATCTTAAAATACTTCTCTAAGCCTCAATTTACTCATCTGCAAAACAGGGCTAACAACAGTTATCTCACCTCACAGAGGATTAAACAAAATAATCCACACAAAGGGAATATTAGCACCATGCGTGCCATACAGTAAGAGCTCGGCAAACGCTGGCTATTATTACCTGGGGGTGGGTCTGCTGCTGCCCCGGGGAGTAGCCGAATTGCTGCTGGGACCCCGCGGGGGACTTGGAGTAGGAGCCAGGGTAGCCGCCAGGAGACGGTGACCCGAACCGGCCCCCCGAGAAGCTGCCGCCGTGTCGCGGAGAGTGGGTGCTTCCGTAGGGCCTAGACCGGTGCCCGTAAGGCGGCGTGTTGTGCGGGCTCCCGTACCCGTCCCGAGGGGAGGGCGGCCGTGGTCCGCCCCCGCCCGGGGTACCCCGGAAGCCGCTCCCGCCACCCCAACCTCCTACACCCGGGGCTGGGTAAGGAGGGGTCGGGGGTCGAAAATTCGGACGATGCATTTCAGGAACCAAAGCCGAAGTCCTCACGGCTGCGTTCTCTCACCGGAACTGTGCCGACCAACCCGCCACAGATAACTGGTTGTCCTTTGCCAAAGCAGTCCTCCAGCCGCCCGCGCCCTACTGCGCTTGGGTTCCGACCTCATAAAGGTTCCGCAAAGAGCGGCAACATAAATAGGTTACTGCACAGTGGGGAGACTGAGTAGATTTAAGTGAAGGAAAAATGATGAAGGGAAAACGGAACACCCAGCCAAGCAAGCACTCTTCCAGGGTGGCGGTCTTCAGGCCGACCTACAGGGAAGTAGTCCGCTTGGCTGAGGGAGCGACTTGGGTCGCACTCTGACCCGCCCTACTGGGGAGGGGCCTGGCGTGTCCGCGGGCGCCCCCAGTGGCTGCGGGTGGTGCGGGCCTGGCTCACACCCGGACTCGAGACATCTGAGAGGAGTGCGATGCAGGCGACGCTTGCGAGGGTGGCGGCTCTGCGGAGAATCGGTCTCCCCTCCGGCCGGGTCGGCGGGAGGGGGCTGTGGACAGGCCGCCCGCAGTCAGGTACCTTCTAAGACTCCGACCGGGCGGCAAAAGGTACCCAGCCCCAGGTTTCTACCGCGGGGTGTCTGCGGAGAGCGCCCCCGTCCAGCCCTCTGGCCTTTCTCGCCTCCGGGCGTCCTGGCTTGGTGGTTTGGCAGTCGTCTTCGCCAGCTCTCGGGGCTCCGCGGGTCCTCGGGTCGCCCTGCTTGGTAGCCACGTTCCAACCCCCGACTCCGGCCTAAGGGCTCGCCACTGTGGGCGCGTTCCCTGCTCGGTCACACTTGGCGCTCGCCTTGATGCTTTCCTTTACTCCTGCCTTGCCCCCAAGTTTAAATACTTAAAAAGTATACATTATTATTATTATTTTTAAAAGTACGCCTAACGCTTAGCTGCATTTCAGAAAGCAGCTCTCTGCTTTGAATAACTTGAGAAGGTGAAGTAAAACAAATGAACAAATGCTGGACTTCACCCTCTTCGTTTCAGTTCTCTCTAAATGGGAGATAGTCAGGGAGAAGGTTAGGAAGTAGAGAGACTAATTTTCAAAAAGAGCAAAATGTGGCCAAAGCTCTTAAAATCTTGATTGTTTTATAAAGTTGTGTTAGGAAAAAAAGTGTAATATTTAAGAATGACACTTCATGTATAATAAACACGACTTTGTATCAGATGTCTGTTTCAGAATCTTATTTAGAGGGTGAAATTTAGGTTTACTACTGTATTATAAACCTTTCTTTACTACCTTAGAATGTTGTAATAGGGATCCACTATGAATTTTGAAATCTTAACCTTTTTTTTTTTAAAGAGAGAGAGAGAGAGAGAGAGAGAGAGAGAGAGAGAGAGAGAGAGAGAGGGAATTTTTTAAATATTTATTTTGTTTTAGTTATCGGCCAACACAACATCTTTGTTTATATGTGGTGCTGAGGATCGAACCTGGGCCGCACACATGCCAGGCGAGCGCGCTACCGCCTGAGCCACATCCCCAGCCCAAAGGGTAACCTTAAGACTCATTAAATCACAGCCTGATGAGTAGCTGGGACCCATGCTTTTCATTGCTCTTCATTCTGTCTCTTTGACATGTTCTGTGACATGCCATGTTGAAGAGCGTGATGTCTTCTAGGCTTCCATCCTCCTTGATGAACGGAGATTTAAACATAGACTTTTCGTTTTTGGTGGTTTATTCTGGGCAAATTCCATGGTTCACCCATATTTCTTTTCTCCTGTAGACATAAATTGTAGAGTCATTTAAGGTAAGAAAATGCCATCAAGGCTTAGTGATGGAATTAAGGCTTGAGGACTCCAGTTTATCCACAATATTATAGTCCTGTCCTGGCTAAAAATCCTTTTTTTTCCAACCATCGTGCTTAACTTATTGTCCTGTACTTGAACACTCAGATCTTTATTGAATAAAAGCTGGGGATGGCAGAGGCCTTCCTTAGTGTGGGCAAAACCCCGGATTCAATTCCCAGTACTGCAAGAAAAATAAAATGCTGCCTTCCCCCCAAGTTTAAATACTTAAAAAGTGTACATTATTTAAAAAAAAGTACTTATTTACTGAATGAATAAGTCACATACATCATGTAGATCAGTGATTCTCATCTTTTATGTCATCAGTCTACATTATGGAGTGGGCAGAGAAGTGAAGGTAGTGAGGGAGTGGAGATCAGAATTACCTTTTTTTTTTTAATAACTGTCAAGTGATATAAACAATTTGGTCTCAACTTTGTTAGTAAGGTAATATAAGTAATTTTTTTAAAAACTTGGCTTATGCTTCAGAATGTTTTTATCTTTTACACATATGAACTTGCATTGGAAATGGGAGAGGGTTGTGGTTGTAGTTCAGTGTTAGAGTACTTGCCTGTCATGTGTGAGTCATTGGGTTCAATTCTCAGCACTACATATAAATAAATAAAAATAAAGGTCCATCAACAACTAAAAAAATTTTTTAAAAAAGATAGTGTGGAGAAGAAATATAGTGGAAAATTTTGACAGGTAGGTTATGCATGACTGTTTGCCTCTCAGCACATTTACAAGTATATATGAGGATTGAGGGAGAATGAATCCTTAGTAATTATATGAAACTCCAGATCCAGTTGGTACTCTTCTGAGACTAGGCTACTTTCTTCTTTACAGATAAGAAATTGTCCAAGAGAAGTTAAAATGACTTGCCTAAGTTCACAAAGCAAGCAGAAGTAGCACTAGAACTGAAGTTCCGAGAATTTCAGGCAAATTTGCCTCCTAAGAAATATAAATTGATAAACATTGCATCCTTTGAAAAATGCAGTAGATAAAGAAGCATGTAGAATTTTGAAAGTGGAACTACTGTGCGGCTTTAGATTTAGAGATTAGTAGATGTAACCTTAACTATTGAATCTTTATAAGTATAGCCAGGGTGTTGTCATGTTTTTACCAAGGAGTTAAAGTCTACATGTCTGAGCTGGTGGGCGTCAGTTCCCCCAGCATTTATTTGTATTGAATTTCTTTGTGTGGAGGTGAGCTTAGGGGAAGAGAGATGAAAGGGAAGGGAGGAAGGATCAGTGACTAGGTGCTGTCTTCAAATGGCATTGTGTACAGAGGGATCAGTAGGTAGAAGAACCTCAAGAACTTTCTGAACTTCTGCCTGAAGAACCCCCAGAAATAATTGGTTAACTTAGTGGTGGTGATGTGTTTTAGAAGTACTTCATTAAAATATGAATACCAAGACAAGGGAATTTAAGTATAAATATAAATGGGCTCTTGTCTGTTTTTATAAAGCTGTGGATCTTTATATCTGTTTTTTTGTGTGTTCATTTTTCAGTGGGTTTCAAAATTTGTTTTTTTTCTTCATAGAGCTTTATCTTTTTAAAAAATATATAGTTTTAGTTGTTGATGGGCCTTTATTTTATTTGTTTAAATGCAGTGCTGAGAATCAAACCCGTGCCTCACACATGCTAGTCAAGTGCTCTACCACTGAGTTATAACACCAGCCCATAGAACTTTATCTTGAACAAAAAACAAAAAACAAACAAACAAACAAAAAAACTTGGAAGCAAAAGAGCTATTTGTAAAGCAGGAATTAGGGTCCCAGAGCCCTGCTTACTCTATACCCCTACATTTACTATCCTCTGCCTTCCACTATTACCAAAGAGGCTCTGGGGCCCCTCTGAAGAATTCCTAGAGCTCTGCAGAAAGGGTTTGAACACCACAATCTTAAGTAGGTGTCAGGTATTAACCAGTGCCTCAAATACCTATACTTTGATTAGTTTTTACTAAGTAATATGGAGAAATAAATATTTCCGTATTTCTTCATTGTCAGGGCTTTCTAAATTAAGAAAACTGGAACCTGGGTTAAAGGATAAGCTGTGGAAGTTAAAAGATGACTGAATAGCTAGTTGAAGAAATTCTAGGAGGTATATGTTTATATTTTAAAAGATATGAAATCCAGAGCCTTGGAGACAATGCCAAGACTGTAAATCCAGTATGCTTGTTTTATATTCCCCCTGGAGACATTTATTTATATTCAAAGGGTTAAGAACCCAAGGGCTTTCTTTTCTTCCTGAGCAGAATTTGTTTACCTTAGGTAGATTTAGCCCTCTCCTTTGTAAGGTAACAGTGGCAGTTAGATAATTATCCTGTACAAACTCCCAGATTCACAATTTTGGCATTCCTTTCCTGTGGTTCTGTCCTTCCAATGTGCAGGCCTAACCAAGGTGTTCTCATTCCATCATCATGAGGTATTAGGTGTGGGGAAATGGTGCATTTCTTGATGTAAGGCATAATAATTCTCATCTGTGCTGCAGAAACCTTGTGTTTACTTTCATCTTGTAAATAAATGCAGAGATTAAAATTTATCATGTATTTTTGATGAACACTTCTCAGCATGTACTTACTTTCTTAGAAATTATTATGTGTACACTTAGAGCATAATTTTTTTTTTTTTTTTTTTTTGGCTACTAGGGGATTAAACTCAGGGACACTCAACCACTGAGCCCACATCCCCAGACTTTTTTTTTTTTTTTGTATTTTATTTAGAGAAAGGATCTCACTGAGTTGCTTAGAAGCCTCATGTTGTTGAGGATGGCTTTGAACTTTCGATCCTCCTGCCTCAGCCTCCTGAGCCGCTGGGATAGAGCATAATCTTTTTTAAAGAGCATAATCTTTAATATTTCGTGAAACTTCCCGATTATCTCTTTTCCTTATAGAGCTGCCTCTTGTCAGCTGTGTCATGTTAAGGTCTTCTAGTAGTGGAAAAGTAAATGCCTCTCTAGGATGTAAATAGCTCATTCACTGATGTGGTTAGGGCTGCTTTGACCATAATAGATCACTTAACTCTCACTTAATATTCTTATTGAAAAAGAAAAATTAAAAGTGACTTGTTTTCAAGAGTCTCTAAGAGTCAAATTCCACTGCTTCATTAAAATTTAATCTTGGGCTGGGGTTGTGGTTCAGCGGTAGAGCGTTTGCCTAGCGCGGGCGAGACCCTGGGTTCAATCCTCAGCACTACATAAAAACAAATAAAATAAAGGTATTGTGTCCAACTGCAACTAATATATATATATATATATATATAAATTAATTTTTTTATTTCTAAGTATGCATAGTGGCCAAGCATAGGTGAAATGTTTTATACAATTTATTTCTTTGTAGACTAATATATTTCACCCAGGTATAGCACAGATATTAGTGTATTAAATCATACTTATAAAAAGTTTTAATTGAAAATAATAAAACTGCTAACAGAATACTCCTACATGAAAAAAAATAAGAGCATATGAATATTGTTTTTCAGACACAGACACTAGAGGTTTGTTTTAAAATGAGTAAATAAAATTTTAATATCATTAGAATCTTCGTTTTTTGTATTTTTCCAGTTAAAAAAAAATGCACAGTTGCCATGATTTGAGTGTCCTTTCCAAAACTCATGTGGAAATTTAATTGCCACTGTAACAGTATTGGAAGGTGGGGCCCTTTAAGGGACCTTTAGTTCATGAGGGCTCAGCTCTCATGATGCATTAGGGAGTAGGTTAGTTATTACAGGAGTGGGTTATTAGAAAAGTGAACTCAGCTTCCTTTGCTTTCTCTTGTTTGCCCTCTTGTCCTCTTGTTTTCTGCCATGATACAGCACAAAGGTCACATGCAGGCATCATGCTCTCTTGGACTTTCAAGCCTATGGAACTGAGAAATAAATCTCTTTTATAAATAAATTATTCAGGCTGTAGTAGTCTCTTACAGCAGCAGCAAATGAATAAAGATAACACTTTTTTGTGTGAAAAATGTAAAA